CTATAGAGGTATTGCAATTATGTCATGCATTCCTAAAATGTTTGAAGCAATTGTTAACCAGAAAATATTTAACCAGGTTAAGCATCGCATTTCAAATAATCAACATGGTTTTTTTAAAGGTCGGTCAACGTCTACTAATCTGTTGGAATTTGTAAACTTTTCTATTGAAGCAATGGATAGAGGTAATACCGTTGAAACCTTATACACTGACTTTAGTAAGGCCTTTGACAGAGTAGACATTCCCTTACTTCTTTTTAAATTAAAACGTTTAGGTATGACAAGTACACTTTTAAAATGGATTGGATCATACTTGACAGAAAGAACACAGATGGTCCGCTTTAAAGGAAAAATATCTTCGCCAGTTAATGTTACCTCGGGAGTTCCACAGGGATCTCATCTAGGTCCTTTATTATTTATTTTATTTGTGGATGACGTGAAGTTTGTGTTAAATCGTTTAAATGTGCTCATATATGCTGACGATATGAAACTGTACATGGAAATCTTTGACAATTCTGATTTGCTACATTTTAAAAATGAAATTGATGTTTTCTACAACTGGTGCGTTAAAAGTCTGCTGGATATTAATGTTAAAAAATGCAATATTATATCATATTCCAGAAAAAACACTACTCTAGATGTTACATGTACTCTAGGAAACCAGCTGGTTGTAAGGTGCGATAAAATTAGGGACTTAGGAGTAATTCTTGACTCGAAGTTGACATTTGTAGATCATGTGAATACCACAATTCACAAAGCAAATAATATGTTGGGATTCATAAAAAGATTTAGTTATCATTTTAAAGACCCATATACCATCAAAACACTTTATATAGCTTACGTGAGATCAATTCTCGAATACTGCAGTGTGGTTTGGGCTCCATACCATGAAACTTATATAAATCGTATGGAATCAGTTCAAAAACAGTTTTTGTTATTTGCTCTTAGGAAACTAGGCTGGACCTCTTTTCCCCTTCCTTCTTATGAGTCCCGTTGCATGTTGATAAACATTGAAACACTTAAGAAACGAAGAGAAATTTCCATGATTTCCTTTGTCAATGATATTATCTCACAACGCGTAAATTCAGAAAAAATATTAGCAAGATTAAATTTTTACGTACCATCACGCATGTTAAGAACTCGAAATGTATTTCAACTGTCACCTCACAGAACGAATTATGGTAAAAATGGACCAATTAATAGAATGATGAGAGTGTATAATAATTATTGTGAGCATATAGATCTAACGATGTCTAAAGATACAGTAAGGAGAACACTAACTGCTAGGATTTCATCTCGTTAAGTTTAAAACAATTTTTATTTTTTAGATATTTGTATATGCAGTCTACATTTGCTGACAATTTCAAATAAAACGTATGTTTTAAAATAGCATGTAAGGCAACAGCACTATTGTAAAACGGTCTACACTGATTGACGACAAATAAATAAATAAATAAATAAATAAATAAATAAATAAATTAGCTTTTGGTTAAGCATATTATCCGGAATAATGTTAGTACGGAGCTGGGTCTCAAAATGTGCTCAAGGCAAAAAAATATAATGGGATTAAAAACAAATGTTTCATATGTGAAATGCAGCGTGACCAGTGAACCGGAAAAACCGGAAAAAGCTGAAATATGAAGTCACCGGGAAAATCCCATGAATTTAGTTGACAAATCTGGAAAATATACCTCGTCCTCTCTTGGAAACAATAAGATTTCAAGACCCTTGGACTGGTCTAGATTTTCAGGATAGCTACAGTCACTTTGAAGAACTATTAAGAGAATTTTAGAATTTTTTTCCAAAGCAAATTTGAGCAGATTTTAGAATGAATTCTAGAGCTAACACCAAGGTATTCCAGGGAAACCTTAGGTTTAGCAAAACCTCTAGGAGAGTTTTTACTAGATCTCCCAGGAGTGAAGAGGATTTCAGGATTTTTGAAAAATACCAAGGCACGTAAATTTTTAGGGTACAATTCCAAAATAATTATGCGAAAATCTATAGGGATAGTCCAATTATAATTCCAAGCGCATTTCGAAAGAATTGCATGCAATTTTCAGAAGAATTTAGAGGAGAACTCCAAGATAATTTTGAGCAAAATTTGAAAACAATTCCCGGCGGGAGAATTTTCCCTGCCAGTTGGTGTTGGCATGGAAGGGGTATTACACTTTTTGGTCACAAAAGCTAATAGACCCTTTTCAATTGTTGGTCTGACGTGAATTCTACGGAGAATGTCATGCTAATTAAAAAAATGAAGCTCCAGTAAATTCTTAGAAAGAGTTTAAAATTCTAAGAGAGGATGAATTTTAAGATTTTTTGGAGTGTTCTACAGAGAATTTCTGTACTATTATAAAAACAATTTCAAGGGATTTCCAGAGAGAATTTCAAATTTATATTAGAAGAATTCTGGAGAGATCTCTGTGAAATGAAATGAATCTAAAGAAAAGGCTTGAGAGCAATCAAATAAAAGCCTGTAAAGAAGGGGGCGAAATTTTCATACACAAATTGTGAAGAGTTCGAACCTGTCGCAAATCCAAATTCAAGATCTAACAAAGGTGCTGCTGTATTAGAAATTACCCATTTAACCTTTGGCTTCATCGGTTTCAGTTTTGTGCTTAATTAAAATACCTAAACTGCGATAATTTCCACAATTCCGGGAGAAAAACGTGAAAATTGCTATTCGAGATTTGCTGGTCACCATGAAAATGACTTGGAGATTTGGATGAATGTATGCCCCTAGGGTAGAATGCGGACCCTTCCCGTTTTTGGCAACACGACATTTCTGTCTTGTTTGCATTCTATAAAATGAATGGAACGCTTTATTTTAAATGAAATTGTACTGGGTTAGAGCTCCGGGTGGAATTTCATGAAAAAATGTCCATAAAGCAATAATATATTCTGAGGAAAGTTATAGCTGATGGGGTTATGTTGCCAAAACCGAGTAGGCACTGCAACTGGATTTTTTTGAAAATTACTGGAAAATCAGGGAATATCAGGGAATTTTGTTTTCTTCCTTGAGTCGACACCCTGTATTAGCCACAGCATCGGCCGCTGTTATCGAATCACTTTGACGATTATATCATCTTCTTCTTCTTCCTCGCTTTTCAAGCTTACTGCATATTAGCTTGTTACGTGCTCTCAACTTAGTGTTCTAGATGTACTTCCACAGTTATTCATTGAGAGCTTTTGATGCCTGTACCATTTTTGCATTAGTATAATTGTGTGGCAAGTACAATCGTACACATTATCTTCCTCCGAAGTTCCCGACTGCGATCTAGCGTTGGTGCTGGGGAAATACAGTAAAGTGAAGCGTGTCATCTAGGAGGAATTCCCTGTGGAGTTGGGCCTCAACGTCTACACAGGTGTGCGACGTGTATGTACGTGTATTCTTGGGCTCACATCAGTGACGCAGTGATGGGTGTGCAAGTATAGAGTTCAACCCCCCCCCCCCCCTCCCTCTCCCCAGAGCCTTGAGAAAATATAAAATTGTGTATTTGCACTAAGTGTGTGCCGACTTTTAAACTTTTTTCATACGTACAGAATGTAGCGCCTTTTGCTATGAACCTATTAAGCTATGAAAAGAGATACAGATTTAAGTCATTCACAAAAGTTGTAATCAAAACCTACAAAAGCTTTACATATCATTTTACGAAATTCTGCTGATGAAAAAAGTTAGAGGCAAATTAATGTAAATGATTTGCCATGCCTGTTTCAGACCGACTCAGATATCCCATCATAGTTTAATAGAAAATAATCATACTCAAACTATACAAAGTCTATTTTTTACTGTTCTATTAGGACCGCTTGATTTGTAGCTGTGGATTTACCGACTGAGCTAAGGGAGTGATGGACTTAAATTTGACACTTTAGAAATAAATTAAAATGAATGAAAATCTATTTGTTGTTGATCGGTTGATTTTCGAGAAGGTGTTTGACAAAATTGATTCCTTGGCTGTCCGAAAAGTCTTGTGGAGTAGCCCTTATTTGAACAATATTTAAATGTTAAATTTAAGTGAAAATTAACCATTTGGAACACAGCCTAAATAACTCTAAGATCAATAATGCTTAATAAATAATATTTACGGTATTTAAATTTTTATTAATTATTCAATCCACTTTAAAAGCTCTTAATGATAGACACCGCCGTAGAAAAGTTATTATTTATGTATTATAAGAAAATTTTAACGTATTTTTTTTAAATTTTGTTAAAAAAAATTCTGCAATTTTTCAGGCTATGTTTACTGAAAAGATTTTTTAAAGCTCAGTGGCGACTATTCCAACATGAATTAATAATATGTCTACCGGCGACCCACTCAATGACAGTACAGCCAGTAACCCACCGCATGTGTGTCGCACATTTGTTTAACGCAAGTCAGAATGAGTTGTATTAATCCAAGCATTGACAGCTGGTGCCCAACTAGGTACAAATCTATCAGAACATGGTCCAACAGTGATACCAACCAACAGTCGGCACCGATGCAGTATGAGCGAAGTAAATGAAATTTAGATCAATCAACCGTATGCAATAATCAGCTGTTAAGCTCCGTTCATCCGTCCACATGCACAAAGAGATAGTCCTCGCTGAATTTACAATCGAAGCAAAGCGACATTAAAAACCACCCAACAACGACCGCTGATAATCTGATTCCCTTCAAGCATTGACGAGAGGAAAAGAAGAACACTGAAACTGACGCCCTAATTGAAGTACAATGGCCTAATAAACTGATTATAATCTCGTGACAACCACCGAATCAGCCAATAGATACCGCTGCTGCTGGAGAGGTGTACGTAGATAACTTTCCCCACGTTGGAAGCGGGACGCGGCCAGAAGTGCATATTCGAGTAGGGCACAATTTTTTGTTTTGCTCTTTTCTGAATGGTAAACGTGGGCGGAATGGCTTGATGTATTACCTACACATTTGTTTTCATGATTGAGAGAAGTAATCGATTACGCCTCCCACACTATTAACTAATTAAACTGTTGCAGTAGATAGGTCACTTACATCGACTTGTACAGCTTGTCGGCTGAGCAGGGCTCCTCCAGGTTGTTATTATCGGTGACCATCTTCTTATCAGCTTTCTCGTCGGAACCTAAAAAATAGGACAATCTTCAGCATACCCCATCGATCGTGGGAGATTGATTGCACTATGAACTCACCTGCCGCCACCGATGGTTGGTTTAATTTCGCTTCCTCCTCCATTTGAACAGAAGTCGCACAGTCCTTTGTTTGCGGGAATAATTAAAACAATCAACAATGTCCAAGTATTAGACTGAATATTTCTTATATTACACAACGTTATCTTGGTTCGAGTTCGAGTTAGTTTACGCCCGCACATTCGCACACATATGGAATCTCAAGATTTGGTTCATCGGCTTTGTCCACTTTTTCTTGGTTTGTACATTTTCGAAACGCTGAAAAATTTAAACCGGTTCCCGATTTAATTTTTGGACTTATGCGTCCAGTAGAACAGCAGGACCGTTGTGTTGTAAACACTCCACACGTAGTCAGCCATCCGGGACTGGAAACCTTGAACGAACGACGACGACGACGGCGGATAGTAAACTACGTGCTGCACCGATCGAATGGCTATGATTGTTCTTGAACGAAGAAACGAGAAGCAACTCCCTCAGACTGACGTTTCTTGTTGCCTTATTCAATGTTTTGATTGGGTTCGGTGATGATTTTTCATTCATACGAACGATGATGACGACGATGATGATTTTCAGAATGACGAATGACGACAGCCGCGCTCTTGAGCAGAGCTGTGCCTTGTTTTTCTAGAAGGGGCAGCAGGGAACTGGGCAAGCGCGCAAAAATTTAAAAATTGTTCCATTATAATCAATTGGCCATCCCGAAAAATAAACCAATAAAAATACAATGATTTTCATTGGCATTGTAACTACATAGGGTTACCACACGTACTCTTTTAAGAGTACATATTACTCTTTTTTGCTGTTAAAAATCGTGTATCATCCATCCATTGACGGCAATGTACAGGAAGGCAGTCTCCACACCTGCGTAGGATATCGCACCTATTCAACACACATAGGCCGGGACCAACGGCTTTACTTCCCTTCCGAAGGAAGACGTGACCAGAGATTTGTATGCCTCAGAAAAATCCCACCGACTTCGGCTGGCATTGAACCCAGACCCATTGGGGTGAGAAAGCAATCACACTTACCACTCCACCACCGGCGCTGGCGACCTTCTAGTCTTAGAGTTACCTCTATGGTCATACTGGCCGGAGAAGGGAAGAACTCCCTTCGACTTGACGACCGACTCGACACATTATCATTTAGATAGGAGATTCGCATTAACGTTTGGTGAATGGAACTCATGAAAAAGGTATTTATAATCATAACCTGAATTTGGGCAGAACAAGAAGTATGCCCTGTGCGGCATAACAGTCCCACTAACATTTTTGGCGAAAACGAGTTATACATTGGAATCAATTGAATCAAGTACCATCACTTTACAATGTACACGAAAAGTTTCCTACTTTGTACAGAAAATGTCGCGAAAAATACCAAAACTATGTTGTCCCATCCATAAGAGCCCATGGAGAAGAAATCTTCAACAGCGTTTTTCACAGCTTGCTGTTTTAACGAATGGGACAACTATGCTGAAAAGGGTAGTTTACAGGAACAATAACAATATATATTGTATTGACCAACATTGGCCAACATTGGAAATGGTAACCAAAATGCGTGATTTTTTTAGATTAATATTCATTGACGTCAAATTGATCTTCCACTAACGGCCAGATCGGCATAAAGACTGCAAATGAGCTGGCACAGTTCAGCACTGCCCGTAAATCGCTACGAAGGGGTATTTTTGAAAGTTTGACAACTATTCTTTTAAAAAATGCACTTTGAAAATTAAGAAGTTGAAGGCGAGGTTGAAGGTGAACGAAACGCTTTTAAACCAAAAGCATGACTTTGAATTTGAATATTTTCGTAGTTGAAATTACGAATTTTGGAAATTTTAGAGTGCTTTATTTTTATTACAACAATTTTTGTTCTTTGTGTGCATGCGTAAAAAAAAGAACCGTAGAGGTACAATGAAATGTATTGTAGCCATACAATAGAGTTTATGGTATTTACAATAAATCATATTCTCCACAACGATAAAATAACAATAGAATCTATTGTAAAAGGGGGAATATACAATGGATTAAGGGGGTCGTTATGTATCTTAACCATACGAAAAATCACTTTTTCCCGAACAAACTTGAACCATTTACCATTAATTGTATTGTTGTTCTATTGTTAAAAACTCTTACTATCTGGGACGTATTGTACATCTATTGTATTAACAATATGTTAAAAATTCGTGTACTATATACGCACAATAAGATCGATTGTTGGCAATAGATTTACTTGTAACTGTATTTTATTGTATGGTAATTGTATGGTTATTTTTTTTCCAGGCAGATACGTCGTAATACCATAGAGGTAACTCTAAGACCACTGGGTCCCGAAGAAAATCATTATTATTTTTGGCTCACTCAGTACCAGAACAACGGTCCCAAGCAGTCCCAAGCTATTTCACTCACCCCTGCATGTTCTGCATGAATCCACACACCCCTGATGTTATCTTGTCAAACTTTCATAGCGAATCAAAACAAACATAGTGTAGTAATAGAATTTCAACTAGAATAGGGTACGTTAATCGTTTGCTTGGGACCAATAGGCTACTAAAGTGGTGAGCCAATTTAAAATCGTTAGTTTCGTATTGATTGTTGGTAATACGCTTTGTGTGCTTCATTGTGTTTCTTGCACCCAAAATATCCAAATTAACATTCTATTCCACTGGTACTTTGAATGAACACTAAATTTTAAAATATTCAAAAGCAACCGTTTTGTTTTATGAAAAAAAAAAACTTTACAAAAACAATTACACACTTAGATTTTTTTGCCGAGGTTGGCACCACCGAGTAGGCTCGGCATTTATTTTTACTGAGATCTCAGCAAAATTTATGTTTGTTAGCCGAGATCTCGGCAAAATTCCCGTTTGTTAACTGAATCTCGGCAAATTTTTCACTGGGATCCAGCAAAATAGATTGCCGAGCTGCTCGGTGGTGCCCATCTCGGCAAAAAATCAAAGTGTGTATATACAGTTTAAAAGTTTTTCAAATTTAATTTCATATTACTTTTTTAAAAGTGTTGGTTTTTTTTCAAAAGGCTACATTTTTTATTTTTTAATCAAATATATTCAAAAATATATGAAAATATTTTTGTTATTCAAGTTTTAAACATTTTTGGATCTATAACTCAACATTACTTGAAATTTTTTACCGTATATTTTTTTCCTGAAAAGGAATTATGTATTCCAAAACGTCTTTTTCTCAGACGCCATTTCGATTGGAAGTGATATTTTCGGGCTACACAGCAAAAAAAATGTTATATCGATCAACGTAATTCAAGCTGATGTATGAAATAATGATGTAATAGCAAAAAGCAGATACAATATTACATCAATGGATGTAATTTTGTTCGCAAAATCTATGTACATCGTACAATGTGATATTACACAATCGATGGATTGACCTGGTTGCAGCAGTTTCGATGTAATATTCAACAACTTTTTTTGCTGTGTACATATGTTTTGATGAAAAATATTGAACACGGCATTTTAAAGTATTTTGCGAGATTCAAAATGACCGAATTTTATCTCAAATTTGAATGATTCACCATAAAAACAATTAGGGCCGATCCATTTATTATGTCACGCTAGATTAAGGAAAAATTTACTCCCCCTCCCCCCTTTCGTGACGATTTTCCTACAGCTAATGCATTTCATACAAATCGGAGAAAGTCAAGGCTGAAATTAACTTTTTTTATGTTATTTGACCATTAAGGCTGTGAACCATTTGCCGAGTTAAATTTAACTCGTGGTTAAAAGTTACAGTTCGAAAGTTATTTTCTATGTACGAAAATCCCTGTGCTGTCGATCGACCGGTTTTCGAGCCACGGTTGTCAAAATTTAACTTCTTGTTTGTCATAAATAACCACGTTCAGATAGCAGTGTTAATCTATAACTTTCCATCTGTCAAATTTTAACCAAAAGTTAAAATAATTTACCAAATGGTTCAGAGCCTAAATCACAGATGAACAGACGAAACCCGTTGAATAAAATTATATTCAAAAGATAGTACCACCAAATAAAGGACCGCAGTAACGGCATCTGGCGGGCTTCTCGTGGAAAACAAGCTTGCTCACTGATTCGCAAACAATGTTGCATGCAAGAAAAAAACCGAATATATAGAAACGTCAAAGTGATCCGATGCCAGCGCTGCGGCGAGTAGTTCGCGGAAATGATAACATTCAAACCAATCGTTAAATGCGCAAACGATGACCCAGAATGAAGAGTAACGTCTATTTGTCTGTGGGGAAACGGATAAATAAAAACATGCACGGGGGCGACCCCGGCGTAGTGGTTAACATCCATACCTCTCACGCCAAAGTCACGAGTTCAAATCTCATCCCCGGACAAGCCACGAATGACCCAAGAGTGTTGGGAATAAAAAAAAATAAATAAATAAATAAATAAAAATAAAAACATGCACAACAAACATACTTGTGATATTGATGAGCAAAGATGACGACCACTTTAATTTTGGCATCGAAATCGAACACTTGAAATTGTTTTGTCGGATAATTAAAAAAATACATCCGACTTGTTAAAACTCCTAGAGGTAGCAACTTTTATTGTTAAACTTTCCACTAATGAATTTTCCGCTAGAGCGTCCCGTTATTTAAAAACAATCGAAGAAATGGAGTAAGTTGAGATGTATTGGCATTGACGACGACTCTGTATAGCTCTTTATTCCTATGGTAAAATCCATAAGCAAACGTCAGACCAACAATCAATACGAAACTAACGATTTTAAATTGGCTCACTACTTGACTAGCCTATTGGTCCCAAGCAAACGATTAACATACTCCATTCTAGTCGAAATTCTAGTACTACACAATGTTTGCTTTGATTCGCTATGAAAGTTTGACAGATAAAATGAGGGGTTAGTGGATTTTCCTATGTTTCGAGGGGTGAATCGATTAGCTTGGGACCGAAGAGAGTACCAGAGCTGAGCCAAAAAGTTGAGCACGTTTCTTCGGGACCTTCTAGTCTTAGAGTTACCTCTATGGTCAGACTGTGAGTGAAACATGGCGGACTTCGTACTATCCTCATAGAGGTAACTCTAAGACCACTGGGTCCCGAAGAAAATCATTATTATTTTTGGCTCACTCAGTACCAGAACAACGGTCCCAAGCAGTCCCAAGCTATTTCACTCACCCCTGCATGTTCTGCATGAATCCACACACCCCTGATGTTATCTTGTCAAACTTTTATAGCGAATCAAAACAAACATAGTGTAGTAATAGAATTTCAACTAGAATAGGGTACGTTAATCGTTTGCAGGCTACTAAAGTGGTGAGCCAATTTAAAATCGTTAGTTTCGTATTGATTGTTGCTATCCTTTCACTCCACCGAAAAATCCCATAAGAAACTGTCAATCTTTTCTAGAAGAGACGATTTTTCGACAGTGCCGTCAACGCCAATTATCGTTGGTCAAATTCAGAGGTCTTTAAAAGGCTGGCATGAACTCCTACTACGTCATCAAAAAAATATGAAACCCAAAAGTTTTGCCAATCGGGTAAGATGTCTTTCTTATCTTGAATTTATTGATCATGATTTTATTCAGAAGCATAAAATTTGCTTAAAAATGCTACTCAAGAGAAATCTAAGTATTTATGAACGATGTTTAGTCCGAGTATTTTTAAAAAAAAAAGGAAAAAATTCAAATAAAAATGAATTTCTTTCAATTTTCAAATGCACACGGTGGCCCAGTGCACTTTCGTCGCTTGATGTGCCTACTGGGGCAAGGTTGACCACCATTCCGTTCCCGTACCACAACGTTCCGCTTTCGCTCGGATCGACCCGTACCGCACGTTACACTGCATGAACTCCACTCGGTCCAATCGGATAGGACACAATCCACCGGTAAGCCTGCTTCCAAATCTTGCAGCGGTCCAGTGGTTGGATGACGACGATCATCATCTGCAAAAAAAGGATTTGATTATAGTCGAACTTGTTGGTAAATTCCCCACGAACCTCTTGTAGCTCGACAGGTTTGAAGGCAATCCTCGTTCGTCAGGAAATTGTTACGATTTCCTCGACATCCACCGTAGAAAAACGGCACGCAGGTGTCCCGTTCGCCATCGAATGCATATCGCTGGTACTTGCCGCGGCACGGTCCAGCATCGGGAGTTTCGGAGCAGATTTCCCTAGCAGTGGCTAAGTCGAATATACAGTCCGCCTTTTCTGAGCAAGGTCTTTGCTGGTTCAGTTCCATCCTTTGGAAACACTTATCCAGTAGCTCGGGCCCTACGAGCAGGAGACGAGTTCGGATCTTAACTCCATTTCCACAGGTTGCACTACAAGGACTCCAATCACTCCATACTGTTGTTGGGCACATCGGATCCGGAACTTCTGCATCAGTTAGCGAACACTCCGGTTGCATGCATTTCTCTTTTTCAACTGTAAGCAGGGAATATAATGATTACTGATGATTAGACTCACCCGAAAAATTACAATGACCATACCAACACTAATATGTGGACACTTCTTCCTTCCCATGTGGTTGACGAACGTCCTGGTCCTCATAGAGACTCCAATTCCACAAGTAGCCGAACATTCCGACCATTCGCTCCATCTCGTGGTCTTGCACACTCCAACCCCGTCTCCATCGTCATTGACAGCAGCCGCCGTCTTCCGAATATCCTCCGAACTATCCTCCGACTCCTGACCCTCGACACATTCAGGAACATCCGCTACGCACATCTCCTTAGAAATCAGTTGCCTATTGCACTGGAACCTAGCAGCCTGTTCCGGTTTTAGATATTCGCGCGTCCTCATATGAATTCCTTTTCCGCATGTAACCGAGCAGGGTGTCCACTCGCTGTACCCGGTTGTCTCACACTCTGGCCTATTGACTTCTTCGGTATTCTCCGCCAATTCCAGTACCTGTGCCTGAAGAAACTCATCATCACAGTTTCTATGGATAACCTTCTCCCGTCGGAAGTAAACCCTGGCCAGCGGAACCATTTCCTTCGATTTTGGATTGTAGAATGGAGCACGTGGATCCTCTGGATACAGTGTTGTGATTCGATGCATTCTCTCCCTTGGCTGCGTCTCGGAATTTGCCGACATATAGCTTATTCCACTATCCGTACCAGCATCCCACGGGTACAGATCAATATCCAGTGATTCCACCCAGGTACAATCCTCGCTGCATAGATCCAGTCCACTAACACCAACAACCCAATCCGGAGAAGGTCCGAACATGGACGCCAGTGAAACCTTATGATGCTTTCGATCCACTCGGAAGTTTGAAGTCGTATTGGAATTAACTCTCGGGTACCACAGTCCGGCCGCTTTGATCAACGTCCTTAGCCGAGGGCCTTTGGCACGCAGCTCCTGCTCCAATTGACGAATCGAACCCCACTCGGCTAGCGATCGGAATCCATCGGTAGAGATGTGATTCTCACCCCAGAATGAAAAATTCGTATCATGTGAAGCACCGATGACATCCGAAAAGTGTGTCAACCATACGGCGAATGGGAAGTCTTTCGAATGCGTTTCGTTGGACCAGATTCCCTCGAAGACAAACTGAAAGTATAATACGTTATTGGAAGGTTCACACATTAGGAATAGTACGCCGAACTTACATTATACTTGGCCTCATCGCACGCGCAGCATTCCCCCTTAACAGCCGACGGGTCCGGTTTGATCTCACACAGAACCTTGGTCAGGGCACCGTCGTCCGAGTACCAGGACTCCTCGCCTTCGAAAACCATTGCCGACAGACTGACGCATCCGGAACCGCTGGCCGGTGCAACCCACATGACCTGGATTTCCGTTTTGGGGAAGTCATCCGCTTGGGTTACGGTGTTGACGCAGCTGTCGTAGAACTTAGTCAGCGAATCGCTAAACAGTTGGAACCGGCCGACCCGTTTCGGACCGGCGATGAAGGTGCGGGCGTTCTTCGATGTTCCAGTGGTGGCTTGAGCCGTCAACATAAAATGGGTGAACTGCTGGAGTTTGATGTGCGTTCGGGAACCGACCAGGAATACTTGCAGTTGGAAGAAACATTTGAGAACGGGGATCAGAGTGTGTAGATCAAATAGGTTTAGGTTTTCATGAACCTCTGTCCAACGTGTGTCTGAATACAGAATTTACTGTATTCCTGGAAAAAGTTAAGGGTTGTGTCCAAAGCACGACCGCATTGTTGACGTAGAACTAAAAGATTGTTTTTGATGTTCCATTCACTAATATATTAATAACAGAATAAATGGTTGAGAAACTTAACTCCAAAATGAAGAGTTCATTATTCAAATTTTTGAAATTGGGCTGTTATTGAATAAATCCTAAAATTAGGATTACCTTTGGCCGCTTTCTTGTTGGCTCGACACAATCGAACGCGTTCAGTTACGGTTCGCGTCTGTTTTGCCGAGGGGGGCGACACATCTAAAACTCAATTTGAGATGCTCAAAACATCTCACACTAGCGAATCAATCTTCGAAAAATCTTCCTGCATTTCTCGCATCTACTTGCATCGAGCATCATCTTTTTGCAGGAAATCTTCAGAATCGTCATCAATCTTCTTTCTATCTACTCAGCGTGTGAGCAGCTAGCCACAGCAGAACACAATCTTTCCTGCAGCGTAGATAGAGTCATTCCCCTCGTGTTTTGCAGGTTTCCCTGCTTCCGGGTCTCTCACGCGCTTTCGATAATCGCGGAGCTATTTTGCAGCCATGTGTTGAGACATTTTAAAGGTTTTTAAAGAATTTCTCAATAAACACTTGATTCACTTTGAATATTGACTCTATCCAACGCGGAGTGTAGACACTGAAGCACTTACTGTACCAATTGGAATATACAGAGAATGCTACAAAGCATAATCACGATGGTGTTTGAATATGATGTCTGTATTTGGGAAACAATCACAAAATGAAATTTTGATTGCCTTTATTTTTGCACCCGCCGGTAAACTACTTAGACTCCTCCCATCATGAGTAGTTTGCTATCAAGTAGCGACACTCTCCCTTTGCGTAGTTTGCCAATGTCAATCCTTCAAAGTAAAGGGTAATTAACGAGTTATTAACGAAATATGAAGAGAATCGATCAAAACCACATGACCTTTTCCTTCTTTGCCACGACCAGTCATTGTTGCTTGTTAGGTAGAATAATGGACTACCTAACCTGCCACCACCTTCCTACTGCTGCTATTGCTGCTTCTGCTGCCTGCTCACCACGCCGTCCGAAGGGAAAAAATGAGTTGAGGCTAGACAGCAGTGCTCTTTTATATCTTTACAGGTTAAAGCAGAATGATGTGCAACCAAGTGGTACTCTATTATGACGACTGTATTTGGGAAGAACGTTTATTTCATAAAAAAAAAACAGTGACTGCATTACCAGATTACCACTTTTTCAATAGTTTCTTGTTGAAAATCATCAGTAGGAAGCATTGCTATTGATGCGTAGATATATTTCTGTTCAAACTCTTTCATAATTTTGTTACATGTTCCATTTTTGGTTTTCACAAAGTGTACCCCCATATAGAAATCACAGACGTAGTTCTACGTCAAAAACTGTTGACTTTAGTGAGTAATATTCATCAGATTCACGGTCCAAATACTGGTATCGACTCACGAGGCGGCGCATATTGCCTCTGCCAGTGGTGCCGTGTCCTTGGAGTAATAAACCGACGCCAATTCCGGCCAAAACAGTACTGAGGCGTCGTGTTTGCAGATCATGGGTAACGGACGCTTGTTTAAACACTCACATACGTAAACATCGGTTGTTATTGTCTCCGTTGTCACAAACGGTTTGGAAAGCATTGAGCTTTTTGACGTTTAATCGGCGCACACGAATGCACCATTTAAATCGAACGAGGGCGAGCAAGAGGGAAACAGATTAGTGGGAAATCAAACCGTCCAATAATTCATGTGTGCTAGATAGAGAAAGATGAGACGAGACGTCACACACAAATGGCTTTCCAAAACAAAGCCTTTTTACCGAATTTTTCGGTAATAATCGACTTATTCGCGTCGTCAACACTTCTGTCATCACGAACGGTGTAGTACCAACAATCAATTCGAAACTAACGATTTTAAATTGGCTCTGGTAACTCTAAGACCAGAGGGTCCCGAAGAAACGTGCTCAACTTTTTGGCTCAGCTCTGGTACTCTCTTCAGTCCCAAGCTAATCGATGCAGCCCTCGAAACATAGGAAAATCCACGAGCCCCTCATTTTGTCTGTCAAACTTTCATAGTGAATCAGATTAAACATTGTGTAGTTCTAGAATTTCGACTAGAATGGGGTACGTTAATCGATTTGCTTGGGACCAATAGGCTAGTCAAGTAGTGAACCAATTTTCAATCGTTAGTTTCCAACCGGTTGGTAGTACTGATCACCAGGAAGAGTTTTGTAATTAAATTTAACGTGTGATTCATCGTCCACAAGCACGCCGATTTTCCACCCAGCAATTGGTCGTATAACTTCCAAGCCCTCAGTTGCTTGTTTTTCACTCAACTTTGGATACGTATTTAGACCCTTTCTTGCCAGCGGGTGCTGGACGTTACTCTTTGAGGATCTCACTTATTTAGTCATGGCTCGAACCGAGGCACTTTTCTTGCGACTGAAAGCTTGCACGATTTTCCGGTCCAGATTTCGGTCAACATGGTTCGGTTTACGTCCAGATTTTTGCTTGTCCTGCTTGTCGAACGGCTCCGATGCTTACAACCTCCAATTTCGCTAATTCACGATCTGCTGGCGCTTTTCCGAAAAAATGCTTCGCATTGTCACAGAAATGTAAAGAACCGACACTTGCGATACACGGAACTGTTGGTCGAAATTTAAAAAAATATTCAGCGTGATAATCAGCTGTTTAAACGTCATCTGAAACAAGCAGTGCTTAGACATTCTGGGACACCCTATACAATGAAAAAAGACATAAAGAATGCGTTTTATTGTCGATTGTTTACGAATTACAACACAACCACACAAACTAACAATACCATCTGATAGAGCAAACTTGCTCTCAGATGATGGTGTCGGTTTACCAGAATGAGTCTATATTCTCGAGAAATCGATGTTTAAAGTCATTGTTTACATTTGGCACATACAGGGCTGGTAGTGCTGATGCGATATAATAGTAGTGACTTTAGTGACTAAAATTACGGAAATAGTGACCAAATAGTGACTTTGAAATAATAAATAAGTAACCAATAGTAACATTTATATGATGACTCAGAAACTCAAATAAGGTTTAATATTCAAATTAACTGTTTTTGTCATGGAACTTAAAAACACATTTCCTGTATTCCTCCAATTATGTAGAAACTCTCAACGAAATTTCGGAATCATTTGAAGGGCAATTTCTGGATTTTCCCAAAGATTTCTTTAAATTGTTACTGGTTGAGCGATATACGATGTTTAAACCAATAAACCATAATCATAATGCACCAGCTTAAATAGGGTTAAATAGTTCATTACAACAAGAGGATTTTTTTCGAAGATCTTGAATTTTGCCTTTGAAATCTTTAAAATTTTGATATAGCTTTGATAATTCGCTAAGAATATTTCATATATATTTTTCAGAATGATCTCAAGAACTTTTTTTTAAATTAATCCACTTCTCTTAAACTTAAACTTGCTTCTTAAATAAGCTTAACAAATATAATATTGCATTCTTGAAATTCTTTGCAGAACAATGGGCAACATTCTTGCAAATAGATTATTTTCGTAGTTGGAGATACTGAACGTCAAATATCAGGCTTAAACTGTACATTTTAATAAAGTATTGAGTTGATAGTTCCGTTGTATTACGGCAATGTGACCCGCTACCAGCCCTGCACATACGCACTATTCACATGTTGCTCTAGTCACTAGCTTCCTCCATCATACGTAAAAAAAAGGTTAAAGTTGAAGGTTGCGGACTGGACTGTGGAGTATAAGTTTAGGTGCAATCGTTAGAAAAAGTAGTGCATTATGATAACGTTTCTGTTGCTTTTGATAGCCAATACAAGCTGTTACTACTCTGCATTGAACAAATTCTAGAAAATTGTTTCGCTTAGCTGTAGCAAAGCGAAGAGGAAATCGATGAAGAGAATCGATCATCGCGTATTCGCCCTCTTGCATGCTCACTGTCGATATATCTTATAGTCAGTTACTCCTGCCGGCGAAAAACAGAAGAAAACTTTCGACGAAGAGCATCACGGGAGAGATGAAAGTCGAAAACAGATGCAACTAAAGCCCTACAGTAAAAGTATGGACGACTGTCACCACAAAACTGAAAAAAGCTGTTCCAATCGAGCAAAGCGGTGCATTTTGACGGTTCGATTGGAACAACTTTTGACAGACGTCCATACTTTTACTGTAGGGCTTTAGATGCAACTCTGTTGAATGTTCTCTGCAGTCCGCAAATCGCACCGTATGCTCCATAATTTGTGCGACGTAGAGGCAGTCTTAGCATAAGGTTATTACGAAGCGGTCGGGGTTGAACATTCAGGTCAATTTGCCTCAGGATAGCCTCGCAATCTGTCCTTCCTTGCAGGATATCGGCCACGGTTAGGGCTCTGCTTGTGTCTCTTCTAGTCCGGAGAAGTTCTAGGTCGATAAGTTGACAACGGCTTTCGTAACTGGGTAATCGAAACGGATCATTCCAATGCAATCTACGCAACACAAAACGAAGAAAGCGACGTTGAACAGATTCAATTCTCTCGGCACCGTTGTTGTAGTTTGGGTTCCAAACCGCTGAACAATACTCAAGCGTCGATTGAACAATCGAACAATAGAGAGATTTTAGACAGTAGATATCAGTGAAGTTTTTAGCTATCCTAAAAATGAACCCTAAAGTTCTTGACACCTTATCAACAACATATGCAATGTGTTGTTTGCATGAAAGCTGCGAATCCAAGATCACACCCAAGTCTTTCACGCGTTCGATTGTCAAGCCAAGCAGGTCATAGCTAAATATTATCGATTGTTGTTTTCGTGAGAACGTAATAGCGGAGCATTTGGCTGGGTTTACTACCATTCTGTTTAACCTGCACCAACTAGCGAATACAT